ATACGTATTTAACATTAATTTATATACTAAGCAGAAGTTCTCTGTTGCAGCTTAATTTACTTGTCAGTAAAAAGAATAGCAGTTGTTTCCATTGGATTCAGGCCAGTATGTTATTGAGAAGTTTGAAATAACACCTAGAAGGCCTAAAGGGATGTATGTCTGTCTATAAATCATCAGCCATCTGCTATTATGTACAACTGGTTCAAAATACTTGTTTTTCTACCAATTGTGAGGGATGGACAGCAGAGTGTCATGGTGAGGGTTGCACAAGTACAGAAACCTGATCGTTCATTTCCTGGCTATTTGTAGACCATTGCTGTGCACAAATTGGCTGCGACTTAATTTACAAAATAAGTCTCTAAACTTTACAGTAAATTCTGTGAAGCGCTTTGAGGCGTCCTCCTAATGTGAAAGGCTAATTTGTTTTGTAGCTAATGCAATATCAAATGTAAAGATTATTATGCAATGTGGTCTATCATACTTTAAGCGCTGAAATATGGTGATCTTGTTATGAATTTCTAGTGAGATTTTCCCAATAACAATAAGATGGCAATGTTTGGCATTTAGTATATTGTAGACTCCAGTAGACTGAGTTGATGTATGACATGTGTATGGACAAGTAGTGCATCCTGATTATTGGCAAAGATTTGGAAAGTATTATAATAATACTTTCATTTGATTTAGCACCTTACCAAGTCGTAGAGACGTCTCAAAGCACGTCACCGATGTGGAGTAAGGAAACTTGACCAAGGTTTCACCCTGCCTAGGAATTGAACCTGGGTCCTCTTGCTTGCAAGACATATAAAGCAACTGCCAGGATGGTAGAAGGTGAAATAGATGGGTCTTCGTCTTCTTTCACCTAGCAAATTCTTATGTTCTTATGAGTGCTCTAACCAATACACCTCACGAATCCAGGAATACTTAACTTATTCATCAGTTGAAAGGAATTGGTGCTGAATGTACCTGGATAGTTCTTAATTGAGTTGCTTTGTATCTATTCACAGTCAGATGACACAGGTAATTGTGGACTTATAGTTTTCTAGATAGTTTTCTTTTAGGAAATAACATTATGGGATATAGTACATAGGGAGTTTGGGACATATGTGCGTGGGACTGCCAGGAAGGTGGAAGGTCTTTTCTCGTCTAGCATTTCTTATATTCTTATGACTTTAGTGTCTTGTAGGCAAAGGTGGTTCTGGAGCTTCGCTTACCTCCAGCTCTCAGAGCCTCATTCACACTTCTTCACCTTTTGAGTCTTCGGACATTGGCCTCCCTACAGCCTCCATTTTGCCTAAGTCCCAATTCATCCAGAACCCTCTAAGCCCATAATGCAGCAATTGCAAATATTATTTTTATTATTATTTTATTCTTAAGTTCCTTGTGCCCTTTGCCACAGTCTCCTGGGAATTAACATGATGAACCTCAGGGCATTTTTCACTCCTCGTCTATGTGTTCTCAACACATTTGTGAGAAACTAAATCTCAGGATCCAACAACAAAATGTTGTAATATATACAGGTCCTGTGTGTGTATGTATGTATATTTTATATATTACAGCTAGTTGTGGCTGTGACAACATGCTAGAAGTTAGAGAGACAAGCAGGGTGACAGTATGGATTGAATAAGGCCGCAACATTTGTTTGGATTGGATTAAAAACAGATTTAATCTATTCATTACTTGAAACAAGTAATTTATAGATTACATTTATTACTTGAAACAAATCTGTTAAAGGAATGATAAATTCATTGGAATGACAGTCTGGAGTAATTGTTATATAATCAGGTGAACTACAAATCATCGGGGGGAGGTGATTTTGATGTCTTTTGGGAAAGGTATGTTCCAAAGCCAACGTTCAGGAGTTCACCTCTAATGTGTGTTGTTATATTTAGCTTGGAAAGTCCTTACGAGTTTGATAAAAAAGTGCTTAGGGACCTCTGTGTACTTGTTTATCAGTCTGGCTCAGTGGTAGCACTTTCGCCTCTGAGTCAGAGGCTGTGAGTTTAACCCCCAAGCCAGGTAGCGTTGTCAGATGAGATGTTAAACCCATGTCCTATCTACATGTTCAGGTGGATGTTAAAGATTCCACAGCGCTATTCAAAAAGAGAAACAAGTTTCTTCCATTATCCTGACCAACAGTCCCCCAAATAAAATTGTTCACTCACTCCATGGCTGTTTGGCACATTGCTGTGTTTTGCTCACAAAATACTGTGAATCCACTTTACGCTAATATCCTGTGAAGAGCTGAGAGACATCTCAAAGATTTGATCAAATGCAAGAATTATTATTATTACGCCAAATGCCATTTGGGACGTATTTGGGGAATACATGAACAATATTTATGGCAGGTGATGTTTTAGTCATTGTGCAGAATTCCACGAATAGCTTAAAGTTGAAATAACAAGTAACTTTTATGATGGGATTTTATGACCCACTGTCTTTCATGAGGTTATAACCTGTTTTTATAAATACAATGAGGCTGGTCCTAATTTTGTGTGGATATCTACTGTACTCATGAGAATAAACAGTTGATGTTAAATCTAAAATCAATGGTATTTATTAAACATATTAAACTATTAGACATATTAAACTTGGTGGAATTGTGCAGCTTAGTGATTAATACAAGGCTGTGAACCAGAGCTCTGTCTAATTGTGAAAAGCCAGGGTAAAAGAAAACAACAACAAGTTGCATTTATATGGCAGTAAACAGCACTCATAAAGAGAATGAGATCCTTTAATGTCCACCTGAATAGGCAGCAGGGCTCTTATTTTAACATCTCATCTAAAGAACGGTACCTCCAATAATGCCGCAACCCCACCTCCCACCCTCATGGTGATTCAATTACTTTAATTATTTCCTAAATAATGTCTGGGCTACTGGCAAGTGCCAAACACAGACACAAGCAATGTGTCAAACAGAGACAGTTACAGGCACTGCACTAAGCAGATATAGATACTGCGTCAAACAGAGAATTGATACAATAATAATCCTTGCATAGCTTATCACATTGCCAAAGTATCAAGGGTCTTCACAGGATCACAGGATTGTGAAATGTCTGTGTAAATGTAGGTGAAGAATTTTAGATAAAGCATTACATTAAACAGAATAAATAATCCAGCAAATATCTGTATGCAAGTTGAGTGAAGGCTGCCTGACATACAAAATAGATGAAAAATTGATATTAGCAAACTAGTCTCTCGTGTTCAAATCCTGTCACTCTCTGACACCTCCCTACCTCTCCGACCTCCTCATTCCCCAATCCACCACCAGGCGCCTGCGCTCGACTGGCATCAGCCTTCTGCTCGTCCCTCGCACCCTCTGCCCCACCATGGAAGGTCGCGCTTTCAGCCACTACACCCGAAACTCTGGAACACTCTCCCTCAATCCCTTCGCCTTGCCCCCTCTCTCCCCTTTTTCAAGTCCCGCCTGAAAACCTTTCTCTTCACGGCCGTCATCCCCCGTCCTCCCCTCCCCTGCTCCGGTTCGGAGTCAGGCTCTGTTAAGCGCTCTGAGATGCTACCCTGCGTGGAATGCACCATATAAGTGCAAATTATTGTTGTACAGAGGAGTTCAGTTCCAAATTTTATCTGAAGGTTTGAGTTTTCATGATTTCCCCCAAGAGCTAAGTTTAATTTAAAGTCCTCCCACATACTTGTCCTCCACATCCTTTGGAAACTGAACCTGAGAGATTTTAAAGAATCACAACTTACTGAGTTTCGTTGGGCAAAGACAGGTGTGTGGTGTGTGTGATTTGCTGTGTTTCTAAGCTTTGCATACCAATACCACTGGGGGATTGCACAAAGCCACACATTCATGGAACATATTCCTCCCAAAGCAGAAGGAGAGATGGTTTTCAGCAGTTCTAAGATTTTAGATTTCTTCCAATATTGATGAGATTAAATTTTTTTTAGGTGGGATTTACTGAAATGATTTTGTTTCTGGTTGATAAGCCTAACCCACCCATCAGGCATCCTGAACAGACATCTCATCAGGAAAGCCTTCAGAATTGCTAGCATGTGATACCTTCCATCAGATATTTGGTGTCTCAGACCAGTTTAGATAGCGAAGATTGGGGGAGAGAGATGGGCGGATTTAAGGAGAGACTTCCAGAAAGTGGGGACAAAGTAGCTGAAAGCCCGCATAAGGTGGCAAAAGTGGAAAAAACGTTCTGTTCTCTGGCATTACCTCACTTTAGTGAACACAGCAATTCACCAGGTATTGATCACTGGGACTTCCTCCAGACGTGAAAGGCGCTATACAAATGTAGAATCCTACAGCACCCATCATGCCTGTGCAGGCTCTTTGAAAGAGCTATCCAAATAGTCGCACTTCCCTGCTCTTTCACCATATCCTTGCAAAGTGCATATCCAATTCCCTTTTGAAACTTATTATTGAATCAGTGCAGTGCATTATTGCAGTGTCCCACAAACAGTCATGGATTGAGGCAGATTTCGAAGGCAGGTCGGGCAAATTATACTTTTGTTTAGGGATCATTATGTCCGGAAAAGCGATCCGTCAATTGACTAACAATCGAGTTCCTACTTACTGCTAGGTAAACAGGGCGTGTGGAGTAAGGAAACTTGCCCAACATTTCGCCCTGCCCGGGAATCGAACCCAGGTCTCTCACTTCCGTGGCATTTGAAGGGGTATGGGGATAGGTCAGGGCATTGAGATTCAATGAACATCTTGTTCTGAGAGCCAGTACAGACTCAATAGGCCGAATGGCCTCCTCTGTGCTGTGAGTATCTCATGATTCTATAGTTATTTTCTCATGCTTTAAGACATTACACTCAACCGTTTAAGAACTTCGGAGACTTATGTGTGAGTGTGTAGGTGAGGTACGTTTACGGAGTTTTAATACTATTGCTGAAGTCTATTCTGTTTGAATGGTAAGAATTAATCTGTGGGCTGTAGAAGGTTTTTGTATCTTGTGATCTTGTAATGGAATTGATTGTCTTTCTTTAGCACCAGATAAATGCCCACTATCATCGTTTGTTTTCAGGATTTCAAGTCTTTCTTGGAAAAGAAGATGTCACGAAGGAAATGGAAGAGGTCCAGAGAGAGAAAAGGAACCAGAAGAACGTTAACTTGGTGTCTGTCTGTAAACTGTTGCAAAAACGTTCCATGCGCTGGCAGATCATCACGGTTATTGTCACCATGGCCAGTTACCAGCTCTGCGGTCTGAATGCCGTAAGTATACCAGCGATGCTATTGAATCTTTCAAGATGAAAAACTGCATCCCATTAGAAAAAGCACTTGAGAAAACGTGCAGGAAATACCATGCACATCACACCGACTTATGAGAACTCTGCTCCGAGCTGATGTCAGGTCAGAGCAGAGGTTAGGTGTCAGCCGTGCTCGGTTGTTAGGACTCTCACCTTTGAGCCTCGAGACTGTGGGTTCAAAATTTCCCATCAAGACTTGAGCTCACAGTTTTAGGCTAACACTCCAGTGTATTTTTGGTGAACACTGCATTGTTGGAGGTGCTGTCCTTCGGATGACATATTTGACACCTTTGAATGAGGTGAGCACTCAATTTGTGCTTGTGCAGAAGAATATTAAAGATCCCACAAAACTATTCAAGAAGAAAAATTTGTCTTTCATTTCTTGGCAAATTGTGGGACATTATTAGGAACAAATTGATGGTTACGTTCACCTACAAATACAGTCACTGCAATTTCCAAAAAAATTAATTGATAGTTTGAGAAGTTTTGATGTGAAAGGCGCTATGTCAAATGCAAGAATTATTATTACTGTATGTTGGTGTGGCAAATATTTTTTGTGATACCCTACCGTAGATAGTTAATGTCCCAAGGTACATTTTCTAGACCTTTTACTGCTATGGGCCACCTTTCTCTGTAGCTCACCTGGGAGTTGGTTTAATATTCGCTCAGAGTTAATGATCTCACGGGGATCAGTACTAGTTGTCAGTACTAGTCTTCAATGTAAAACGCAGAGTGTATTTGATGAATGGTTCAATGTTCTTGATGGCACCGCACTTACCAGCCTAATTCAGATAATATGAGAACAACTTGCATTTACATTGCACCATTCATACCGGACATGAGGTGTTCAATGAATGCATTTAATTTCAGTTTGCTTACAGAAGATTAAGAAATGTAGTTGGATAGATAGTGAAGTGGGTATGAGATTCCACTTTATGAAAGGATGCTAAGTGCATCTATTATTTATTTGCAAAGTAAGAGCTTTGAAGTGTCCTTGTATTCTACATGGAGATTTGTGCTTGAAATCTGCCTGAAGCATAAAACGTGCCTGTTAGTTCTCAAAAAATAGGCATCAGGAGAGAGAAATTCCTCAACAGCAACTTGCCTTTACCGAATATAGTGTCATTAGCGCAAACAAAAATAACTTGCACTTATACAGCACCCTCCGAGCAAGGTGGCGTCTCAGACGCTTAACAGAGGCAGAGTTTGGTTCTGAGCCGGGGGTTGGGGGGAGATGACCATAAGCGCGGTCAAAAAAGGCTTTAAGGCGGGAATTGTAAAAGGGGAGAGAGGTGGCAAGCCGGAGAGATTGAGGGAGAGTGTTCCAAAGTTTTGGGGCTTAGTGGCTGAAAGCGCGACCTCCAATGGTGGAGCGGGACGTGCGAGGGACAAGCAGGAGGCCAGAGCCAGTCGAGCAGAGGCACCGGTTGGTAGATTGGGGGGTGAGCAGGTCGACGAGGGAGGGAGGTGCCAGGGAGTGAAGCGATTTGAAAATGAGTGTGAGGATCTTGAAGTCGATCCGTTCGATGATGGGGAGCCAGTGGAGCCTGGCCAAAACTGCTGAGATGAGGGTACGGAGTTTTGTCCGGGTATGTACAACAAACAACAACAACAAACTTACATTTGTAAAGCGCCTTTCATGTCATCAGGACATCCCAAAGTACTGAGCAGTCGGGGATCAGTACCTAACCGTGGGGAGGAAGGGCTGGTTTGGGATGAGGGAGGGCAGAGGGGGTAGGAGGGCTGCTGAAAGCACACCGTCAAAAATGAGGGAGACGAGACGAGGGAGGGAGCAAGGCGAAGGCATTGTGGGATGGAATTCCAAAGGGTGGGGGCAGAGAGGCTGTTCAGCGGCTCGTACCTGGCTCTTCAGTGAGCGGAGGTGGGTGGTGAACTTTACAGCATTACCGCAATGTTGCTGACTGATTCTCTTTACAGTGTTATCCCCAGTATCAATGACTGATGCTCTTCCCCCCCCACCCAAGCTCATTTACACTGACTGCCAGAAAAATCCATGCGGAACAGCTGTGATCTCGGTTCCAAATCTTTTCTGTCCCATCTAAGCGTCTCTAAATCAACAAATTACCCAATAAACATCCACTTTATCTAAATTGCGATTTTCATTCTGATGTTATTGGACAAGACCAACTTGTATTTATATAGCACACCTCATGCAGGATAGAGTCTTGGAGCACTGATACCTAATAGATATAAACGATGTTAGTACCTCGTTGCAAAGAGCATTGGTCAGTGTCATTGGGAAAATGGCAATGCTTATTTTCTTGATTCAGTAACTGATCTGAGTATTTTGCGTAGTTCTGGCTCAATAGAAAAATTTGCATTTTTGAGTCTGAAACTTTCAAACTGTTCTTTAGATCCTGGCATAGAGTGGAGCTGGGAGTCACAGTGTTTTAGCAGTAACTGCCCCCACTGAAGTCTGTGAAATATTGTGATAGAATGCTTGCTCATTTCTCTTGCATTTGTCATTTCTTTTTCGATTGGGGTGCACTCCTAAAGCAGTGAAATAAATGGCTCTTTAAATATACATTCAGCATAGTTACGGGGCAACTGTTTGCAGTCTTATTGAAAATCATTGTGAGCTGACATTTAATTACAGTTCTATTTATGGGTTTTAACCTAAGTGTGGGTGCCTGCTGTCCTATCCAGACGTCAGGTTCACATTGAGATTGTCACGTGGGGGCTTTGAGCATAACTAAAGTGGATTTAAAAAGAAATCTCTGGTGCAAGAAAGGGCCATTAAGGGTGAGGGCCATTCTATCAATTTGATAAGTCATATCCAAGGCTCTCATAAAACACAGGAAGCATTGCACATTGTCCTAAATGGCAATAAATTCCATTGAGAGAAAGAAAATAATCGATTGCAGTATATCGATACATTAAAATATGGGAGGTTTTCTAGAAGCAATGATGCACAGCTTTTCATAGCAGCTATTTGTGTTTTAAGACTATTGACTAACTTGAGTTTAAAAAAATAAGAAGTCCCTTAAACCAATTCCTCAATAGACAGCTAAAACATCACTCTGGTAGCTTGGCAATCCCAGTTAATTTCACAGTGAGCGCACTTTTATTTGCTGGGTCTAATCAGAATCGAATCTTGTTGAGAGATTTAGTGCCATTATTAGGTTGAGAGCAAACCATAATGACTGGAAGAGTAAAGGTGAAATATGGAACCACTATTAGGGAAAAAGAAGCCATAAAAAACAGACTGCTGAAAAATAAATTATTTCCTTCGGGTTGGTGCGAATAGATTGTCATTGATGGGAAGACCAGTAGTCTCTGACTAACCCCATTTGAAAAATTGTTCTGTTTTTTCATTCATACTTTTGATTCAATCTATTCGAACTACTTTGTACTATGCCCTGCACTAAATGATAAGATTGTAAGAACTTGCTTTGATGTATAGGCTGAAATTAGCAGTGTTTATGAAACGCCATTAAATTACCTCCTCCCATAATCTTGCTTAAATGCCAATTTTGCTTGATTGGACACACTTAGATTCTCCGTTCAGCTCACGTAAGTGTGTTCAGTACCTGCAATACTATAGTGAAATTGTTATCAGTCTCCTTAATTATTTGTACAGAATATATTCAGCTCACAGTTTAACAGATAAAAGGGCAAAATCCAGCAGTCGTCAAATGCCGTTTTTGCCATGTGTGTGTGTCTGTCAGTCTTTCCCAGTGCTTGCAGGTTGGGTCTGGTTTGATGCATCTTGAACTGTTTCATTTGCTCTTTCTTCCATTGCAGATTTGGTTTTACACAAGCAGCATCTTCAAAGAGGCTGGTATCCAGGAGCATCAAATACCCTACATCACCCTGTCTACTGGAGGCATTGAGATTCTGGCTTCACTTGTTTCTGTAAGTAGAGAGCACAGCATTAAATCAACAGAGATCGAGCTCAAACACTCATGGTGAAGTGTAAAATACAAAAAAGCACTTATTTACTTTTAAAGTTAACATATCAATAAAAAAGCCCTTACAAACCAGGAGAGAGACAAAGGGATAACATTGATACATTTTAGTTAAACTTCACTGAACCATTTTCACCACAGAAAACCTGTTTGATTTCCTTTTTCTGATACTTTACAAGCAAGGGCCTTTATCCATTGCCTCTCCAGACAGAGTAAAGCCAGGCTTTATTTGTCTAGATCCTGGAATCCATAAGGATATTTATAGCTAGTCCTGTTGGAAATTTACTAACTACACTATAGTCTTTTAGTTGTGCTTTGAGCAGAACCACTTAGTTCATTGCCAATGGGACTTGAAAGAATAAATTGAGGTACAATTGCTGCTGAGTATAAGTTGTTAGTGTAATAATTGCTAGCAAACGATTTATCTGAAAATGTGCTGGCAGTTTTTTTTAGATCAGCCAAACTGTTGTTGACAGTATGTTTTTCCTGAATCCCATTGCTAAAGTTCTGTATAAAGTCAGTTTTTTTTTGTCAGCTGGATGTCTGACACTTGTGCAAACACATCACCATGCTTACGACGATCCAAATCAGACTGAGAGTTCCACATATATACACCACCTACACATGGACATTTCTCTACAGTAGGCGAACACTTACAAAAAGGCACAAGCGGATAAATAATAATAATAATAATCCTTGCATTTGATATAGCGCTTTTCACGTCGGGAGGACGTCCCAAAGCGCTTCACAGAACACACTGTAAAGTGAATTGACTGTATATTTGTGGGCGAACGCGGCAGCCAATTGTGCACAGCAATGTCCCACAAACAGTCGTAGATTGAAAATGACCAATTTATTATTGTTTTTGGTTTTGGAGGGATTATTATTAGGCTCTGTGTGGAGTAAGGAAACTTGCCCAAGGTTTCGCCCTCTGCCTGGAATTGAACTCAGGTCTCTCACTTGCAAAGCGAGTGCTCTAACCACTGAGCTACAGGATTCCACAAATAAAGCGAGAGTTGTACTGAATGCTTATGGCTATCACAAGAAAGGCAGGACAAAGGGTAGATAAAAACAATAGATATTGTCAAATATTTACAACTGGCCCTATTGGAAATTTACTAAACAGAAAAAGAAAGTCTTGAACACATTGATTCATGCCTATAAACCGCCCTAAATTCCCAACATGTTTATTTACATTTTATTTTAATTCAAACATTGCAATGTTGTTTGATGTGGTAAAACTGGTGGAGGGCTAATAATATTTAATGGGTCTATGTCGCCTTCTCTTGTGGTAAATCACTGTAGGATTTAACACCTCCAGTTAGGGGAAGCAAATAAGTAGCAAGTGCAGTGCTTTCATAACTAAGGAGTTGCATTGTTTTCACTGGATAATAACCATTTATGACCGCTGTTTTAGTTATTCAAGCAAACAGAACTTCAAATCCCGGTATGAATAAATTGAAAGAATATTTTTATTCAATCTATTTTGAATGTTTCCCTTCTTTTGTATCCAGATGATTAGAAGCTAAAGCTGTTTCTTTCACTTGTAGAATCATACAGTCATGTACTGGGATTCCTTAATAATGAATTAGAAATGGGAACTCCTACTGGGAACAGAATGTCTATCACCAAACTGCAAAAACTCCATTTCAAAAGAAGATTGTGTCAAAGTGGAGCTCCTGCAGCTCAGTGTGACAGACCTATGGTTTCCCTATTACGAATCCCAATAGAAATAACTGCACACATGTCAGATCAATACTTTAGGATGCACCAAGATAGTCGAATAAGAGAGCATAGGTTTAGAGTTACAAACAAGCAATTTCAGGCACAGGGATTCTCCCCATCCCTGTTAAACCTACCAGCTAAAGCTCTCATGGGTAGGGTGATCCTAGCTAGACAAAGCAGTAGGATATTTACCACAATAGCTTTCAAAGACGAGTTGTGTGGTTTTAGCGGGTTAAACTCCAACAGTATCCCAATGAACACTTTTGGGTGTCCAAGCCTTGGGCTCTTGCCAACGTGCGCCTATTAGTAATAATAATAATCATCCTTGTATTTGATATAGCGCCTTACCACGTCTTCGAGACGTCTCAAGGCGCTTCCCAGAATATACTGTAATAATCTCCATCATTAAATAAGCAGAGTGATTCCCTCCATGGAGAATGTGCACCTTCCATTCGAGACACAGGGAAATGTCCACGTGTAAGGGGCATATGCATGTGTAACTCTATCTGGTTTGAATAACCTTAAACATGGTGATGGATTTCCACCTGTCAGACATCCAACTGACCACAAAAAAAATCCAGGTTGAAGACTGGACCCACCTTGTTTCTTGGAATGGTTTCCCTTTGCCTCTTTTACCAGTGAAACACTGTGACAGGATCCTCTTAAATTGATTAAAATCCCTTATTAAACAGAGAGGCAGCTCATTCTCATCTTATCAGCTCCTGCTGCTTCCATATACCACATCCACTGTCAATTCTCAATTCATTGATAAACCCTTTTGTTAACCGAGTCATTAAAAGCTATCAAATCTTGGAGGCCAAGGACAACCTCAGGCTTCTCTTCTCTACTACCAACCGCCTCCTTCTTCCACCCTTTCACGCCTCGCTCATCTTCTCCTCCAACTCCAACTGTGAGGAGATGCTGGATTTCCTTGAGACCAAAATCGAGGGGATCTGTTCAGCCATCTCCGCCCTCCCAACCACCACCCCCTCCCCATCTCTCCCTCACACTCCACCCCCTACCCATCCCTCCATCCACATCTTGGAATCTATCTCCCCCTCCTCTCTCATCACCATTATAACCTGCATGAATCCCACCACCTGCTCCCTCGACCCCATCCCCCCTCCTTACCTCCCAGCTCCACCTCCTCGCCCTTTTACTCACAGACCTTCTCAACCTCTCCCTGTCAACTGGCACCGTTCCCATCTCTCTAAAAACAGCTGTCATCATCCCTATTCTAAAAAAGCTTTCCTGGACCCATCCCTGCTCACTAACCACCGACCCATCTCCAACCTCCCTTTCCAAGGCCCTTGAAAGAGTTGTTGCTTCACTCCTCCATCTCCTGCCACTCTCTTTATGAACCCCTCCAATCGAGTTTTGTGCTGCCCACAGCATGGAAACAGCCCTGGTCAAGGTGACAAATGACATTCTGTCCATCTGTGACCAGGGCTCCCTCTGTCTCCTCATCCTCCTCGACCTGTCTGCTGCCTTTGACACTGTGGACCATTCTATCCTCCTCCCTGCCTCTCCTCTCACTTTAATCTTCAAGTATCTGTCCTTGAATGGTTCAGATCCTATCTCTCACACCGGCTCCACTTTGTCTCCACAAATGACTTCTCCTCCAGCCCCCGCACCATCTTGTGTGGTGTTCCTCAGGGCTCTGTCCTCCGTCCTCTCTTCTTCAACCTGTACATGCTGTTCATCCCGCTTGTTAACATCATCCGTAGACATGCAGTCAACTTTCACATGTACGCGGATGACACTCAACTCTATCTCTCTGCCTCCACCCTCGACCCCAGAACCACAGATGTCCTGACAGAATGTCTGTCAGACATCAATACAATACAAAATTACTTTTGTAAAGTGCCTTCATGTCGGGAGGACAGACCAAGACGCTGAAAAATCAGGGATTAGGACCCGAGCTGGGGTGGCGGTTGGGACCAGGGAGGGTGGAGGGCAGAGAGGGTAGGAGAGTGGTCAAAGGCATAATCGAAAAAGAGGGTCTTGAGGCATGTCTTGATGGAGGCAATGGTGATTGATGGTGGGGTGGGCTGAGCGGAGCGAGCAGACAGGTTGATAAAGGGTTAGCCGGTTGGAGATGTGGGATGGGGCAAGGCCATGGAGGGCCTTGAAAGGTGGGTATGAGATTTTTGAGCTCGATCCTCTGAGGGATGGGGAGCCAGTGGAGCCGGGCGAGGGTGGGTGTGATGGGGTCACGGAGCCTGGTATGGGAGAGGACATGAACTGCAGAGTTCTGGATGATCTGCAGATTGTGGAGAGAATTAGGGCATTGGCATAGTCGAGGCTGGTTGCAATGAAGGCATTAAAAAGGTTTCAGAGGCCTGAGGGGTGAGGCAGTAGCAGATTCGGGCAATGTTGCGGAGGTGGGAGAAGGCAGAGGGGGTCAATGTGGGAGAGAAAGGACAGTTGAGGGTCAGACACGATGCCTCAGTTCCTGTCTTGCTTGGTGAGATGGAGTGTGCATCCATGGATGCTGATGCTGCCAGTACCTGAGGTGCAGAGGTGAGAACCAATCAGGAAAGCCTAGGTCTTGCTGACGTTCAACTGTAGAAAGTTGGCTCTCATCTAGGACTTGATGTCTGACAGGCGGTCTGTCAAGACATCAGTGGTCCTGGGATCGAGGGTGGAGGCAGAGAGATAGAATTTGGTGTCATCTGCGTCAAGTCCCGGATGAGAGCCAACATTCTACAGTGAAAGGTGCTTTACAAATGCAATTTTGTATGTATTTTGATATTATTTTTAATTATCCTATTGCCTCAAACTGGCCAAAGTGTCTGAATGAATAGGTTAATTTTGTTCTGATGATCATCTTCACTTTACCATTCTCTATTCTCCTGAGTATATCCAGAGTTTCAATTACTGTTGATCTTTCCATGACAGAAACTCAAATTATTCTGCAAAAGAAAATATGAATATTGTTTTACAAACTGGATGAGCTGACAACCCAGCCTGGGTTAATTAACAATATAATAGTCCTTGCATTTGATATAGCTCCTTATCAATTCATCGAAAGATCTCAAAGGGCTTCAAGGATTTTACTGTGAAGTGTAATGACTATAAGTATTTATAACTTAAATATAAGTTATATATACTGGGTGTTTATCTAGCAAAGAAGGAACTTATATTTTTATAGTGCCTTATTAATTAAAAAGTGCTTCACAGGTAATTGTATTTGGATGTGATAAAGTGCTATATCAGATG